CAGAGCCTTGAGTCAATCTGCGCGGGACACCCATGACATGCCCCGATGAGAAGTTTTGCGAGCTGCCCTCGGTCTGGTGACATGAAGACTCCCTGAGCTTTCACTTGAGGTGATTGGGGATGTAACATTTTTCCGCATCTACTTCTCCACCACTGGGACCACCCAAAGCGCGGGACTTTGTAATTTGAATGTACTGTTCGTCGTATAGACCACAATTTCGAGTTTGTCACATCTCGAGGCGGCGACACGACAGCTCTTCTGGAAGAGGTCGATGTTGCTTTCCAGCAGCCAGCGCATGTGACTAACTAAAGATACTAAAGGTTGCCACGGGAGCGCCGGTATCCCAGAGTTTCCGGACGGTTTCCTGTCAAGTCGGCTCTGAGGTCAGCTTGAGCGACAAGGTGATAGCCGCTGACACATCACTTCAGCCAAGAACTTAGAGACCATGCCGCATGTGGTGGCCGAGTCTTTCGCAAGCTAGCTTTGCTCTGCAAGTTTGTGAGGTCCTACGCCTTCTTGGCCATGACCTCCAACTCCCCCTCCACGGAACAACGGACGCCCTCGACTTGGCTCATTTACGACGAAGTTGCCAGTGCTTCCAGGCTCCAAGACGACAGTGCTTGAGCCGTGAGCCATTTCGCATAAAAAGAGCTTCCCGAAGAAGTGTCAATACACCAGCTCTTGATCTATCTCCCGAGTCCACCCGAGCAGACGAGGTTGCGAATGTGAGTTTCGTGGATCTGGACCTCGATGAATCGCAGCTGGGTGGGACCATCGAATGGGACCCGCCTCTACGCACGGCGGCCGTGTCTGTTCCTTCGTCAGCAGACGTGCAGAAACAGTTCGCGCAAGAGGACACGGTACTGGCTTCGGTGCTCTCTATCCATCTGTGTCTCCGTTGACTTGTGTATCTAGGTGTCTCTTTGTCTATGTCTACAGGTACGTACCGAGCACGCACGCACACGCACATGACCGCACATGCATGCCCGCGGCTTGTGGCCGCTCGCCCGCACGCCCTCAGGGCAGTCCCGCACACACATGCTCACAGATACGGCACACGCGGATGCACGCACCCGCACGTGCACACACGCTCACACTAGCGGCGCACTATGCCGCGGCTGTGCGCAACCCTATGCACAGACAGAGACACTGAGACAGAGAGACAGAGACGCAGATGCAGACACACTCACCCTCGCACAATGATGGGTTTGTGCACTCCTCGCTGGATAAGGCCTATCTGGCCTACCTGGCGCAAGATGGAACTGGTGCCTTTAAGTCTCAGTGCCTCGCCAAGAGTTGGAGAGGCTTCCGTCCTCCTCGGTATCGCGAGTACTTGGCTCTCTGCTCGGAGAGTCAATCATTGGCTGCTGCATCCTAATTCGCCAAGCTGCATGATCTCGGCCCCCTGAAGCTTTCACCCAGCCGTCCCACCCGCGCCGGTCATTGTCATAGCTTCATGGTGCATAGTTTAGAGTTGGGGGTCACAGAAGCAGCCACCCGATCGCTCCGGTCAGGGATCGGCCTGGTCCGTTCGTGTCTTTCATATATTTTCATATCCAGACACCCCGCAGGTTCTAAACGCCAGAGCCACATAACGCGACCTTTCCAAGTCTTAGGCTTATGGCTTCGGGGTTGCAGATTCAGGGCCGAAAGGTATGTTCCCATTAAGTGCTTAGCCAGGGCCTTCTCCAAGCGACTCCATGCGTTCTATTCTTCACATCCTCTCAGTTAGGTCTATTCATGCAGGAATGTAGTGCTGAATGAATGGGCGTTTCGAGTCTGTGGGATGAGCCGCGACAGCACTGCGTGAGACGACGCTCTTCTTGAGTTTATTCGGCATGGGCTCGCCACAAGAACATGTGCCATGCATTCCATCTCCCTGGAGCTGTCGGGGCTGGATCGCAAGTCGGCTGATGGGACAAGTTGGCATGTTGCTGAACAGTGGCATTCTTCCCGCGAGGATTGTTGAAGGGGTTGAGCTGGCAGAGAGCTACAGGGAGTTCCTCACTGACCATGGCGGATGTCTCGCTGCCCGATGGACAATGGAGCTTCTGTCGGTGGAGCTTGACATGTCCCGTTCTCAAAGAGTGGCGGACGGGACCCAAGCGCTTAGGGTTGATGGCATCACATCTCCATTCACCATATTTTTCCGCGGCGACACAACCTGTCTGATGCTTTTTGATCAGCTGCTGTGGGGCACTGGTGCTGCTTGGTCTTCCGTGGCCGCCGCTGGCTGGAGCACCTTTGCCTTGCTTGGGAGGCTGTCCAAGGCTTTTCAAACCTATCTGGAAGTGCAAGGCGAACCATCAAGCGAAACTTTGCACCGCTTGCTATCGCTGCTGAAAGGGGAGAGGCGCAACATCGCTGAGCGGCTGCCCAAGCTCCTCGAGACCTCGCTTGCCAGCTTACGGGCTTCAAATATGTCCACACCATGGAAAGCTCGTGCAGCAGCTGCAGCGACAGCAGAAGACGTGTTGCGAGAATGGTCACGTGAAGCGCTCTATCGAGGAGTGCCACCTGTGCAGGTGGTGGCATCTTTATTGATCGACCCTCGGTCAGCAGAACTCTGGCAGCTACTGGACAGGCTGCTGTTGCCGGACAGTGTGAGCCTTTGCATGCCGAAGCTGTTCGGTTGGACATCGTTTGCTCATCGTGGCCGCTGTGTGGCAATGCATTGTTCAAAATTCTGGGACCTGGATGAGGCCTATATTGCAGGCACGGCGAATGCGCATGCTGCCAATCAAAGCTCTGCCAGAGACTAGGTCTGTGTTGCAAAACTTGCATAAGCCTAGCATAGTACATTTTCAAGAAGGAACGCCCAAGAACAGCCAAGGAGACTTGACCATTTTCCACGTTGGCATGGACCGCGACTTCCTCAGCGACAGCCTCCGCAGCGAGTGCTCAGCAAAATGTTCAAAGTCTGTGGTTCGCACTTTGAGACAGGTCTCAGAAGTCCTAGGCACGAAGACGCCCTTCAGCTACGTGGACGTCGGGGCAGCCATGGGGGAGTGCATGCTGTCGGCGGCCTTCCTATTGCCGGAGGGCCGTTTGCGGGGCCTGGCCTTCGAGGCCTTGCCAAAGTGGGCGAAGCGAATGCAGAAGACCCTACGTATCAATGGTATCTCTGCTTCTGCGAGCCAGGGCATGCAGGTGGTGGTCAAGAATGTGGCTTTGGGTTCTGGGCGGTCCGCGATGCTGGGGTCATTCTCCCACAAAGGGTTTGTATCTGGGCACCGGTCGACTGGGGGCCATGTCGTTGTGAGAAGCTCGACCCTGGATCATGAAGTTGCCTCGCAGCTGGGTCGGAAGGAGACTATTGATCTACTGCACATCTTCGTAAACTCCTGGGAGCCAGCTGTACTCAAGGGCGCCAGGCAACTTCTACTGGACCGCCGTGTGGGCTGTGTGCTTGTGCAAGTGTCTAGGTGCCAAAGTAGGATTGACTGGGATAGTGTTTATGTATTCAGAAATAAATTGTAGGAGCCCTGAAAGAACAACCCAGGTGTATGACAGGGAGACCATGTCTTCCATCGTCCAGGGACTTCTCCGGACGGTTGGCTACGTTGTGACAAACCATAGTCTGAATTACTTGGCTGGCAGCCCTTCAGATGCCCTCGAACTTTCAGAGGGGACTCCGTGTGACCAACGCTTCTTCGCATGGTGGCTGCGCGGAAAGGAGTTGCCGTCCGCAGTGACGTAAGCAGTGCCTTCCGGTGACGTTCAGTTGTGGTTCATTCACTTTAAGTAATGTAGAGCTAGGATGGATAAAGCCCACGTCACCCCGCCTCCCTCAAGTCAGAGCTTCGTCTTTCAAGAGGGGCTATAAGTTTCGGCCTTTCTTGTCCAGACTCCGCTCAACTGCAGCACACCTTTGTGGCGCATCCCAAACCCCATGTCTTTGAGTGCGGAACTCCAAGTTCGAAGCAAGCAGACCCGGCAGATCCTACGTTGTTACGCATTGGTCAGGATCGAAGAAGGCGTCCCACACGTGGACGGGGCCACCGTTCTGGACATGCCGACCGACACGCCGGTTGGATCCAACACCGACGCACGGCAAAAGATTAGCGCATGTTTCGTGTCAGTTCCAGTCTACGAATTTCAGCATTACAGCTACCCAGTCTGAAGTTTAGTTTAAGAGTAGAAGCGAGTAGCTTTCAATTCGACATTGTACACGGACAGGGCAGTTTAGCATTGACGGTGTGCTGTCGCACTTCGAATCAGTCGAGAGTGTTGGTAAATGCTTACAGGTTCAAGACAGGCTCTTGACACTAAGCTCTTCAATCGTTCATGTCATGACCATATACGAAGAACACTGATAAGCTAGGCAGCACGCACGCATCTTTGCGTTGCGTACATGTAGCCTTACGTTCACTAGGCCAAGATGACTTGGATGCTGCTAGTCTGCTATGCCTTGGCTGAACTTCCTTCAGCACATGCAAGAGTACTGCTGTGAGGGCATGCAGAAAAGCAAGACAAGTTCTTCGATATCTGCAGTGCGTCGCACTATAATGCATCAGCTCTGCCGCGCGCAAAGATGGATGATATGATGAAGTCTGGTCTACAGCTCACTTCAACTTTTCATTGAATGACTTTGGTATCTGATGAGCGCACTGGACAACATCGCAGAGTGCGTCGTATAGGTAGGCAGACGGTGCAATGTAATGTTGGCCGACAGTCTTCCAGCAGTGTCTGAGCAAGGGCATGCTGTTCCGTAGCCAGCATCAGTTGACATGCATTTTATGCATCCCCTGCGTGCCAGCCAGGACATCGTGGTTTATACGCGCTCCACATTGGTAGAGCCCCCAAGCTGAACAGCTAAGACCCGGGGATCAGAATAGCCCCAGGCCAGGGCGGGGCGGATTCAGGGGGATATGGCTATGGAGCTTTGCACCCGAGAGTCCAAAGCCTCTTCCGGCAGGATGAAGGACCTTCAGACAACGAGCCAGCACTCCTAGGTCCTAACTCAGCAGCAGTAAAGGATGTTACAGGATCTGTCGTGTCAGACTGACCTCGGGCCAAGGATCGGAGCGGTATGCATACACAGATGATGGTACCCGGGCACTGAGAGGATCAAATACATGAGACACATGCGCGGTGTTCATGTTGCGGGAAGAGACGACAGAAACTGGTGATATGCGAAAGTGACTGCGATGTTGGCAGCGCTGTGATGGTCATGGCGGTCGTGGTATCCGGAACTGTGATGGTATGATAACGTTGATGACGTGATGACGTGATGCTGCTTTTTCGTACACTCCGAGCAACATATCTTTCGACAAGGCAGACCACACCGGCCTCCCTTTCCTTCTCGGACACTGTGGCCAGTGTTTCGGGTCTTGCTCGGCCCTCGGTGAAGAGCGACGCCTTCGGTGCTCTATCAAGCTCTTAACTCAAGGCTTCCCCGGTTGCCCTGAACCCGCCAATCAGGCTTTTCCAGACCTGGACCTCGATGGCGGTGAGGTAGGAGGGACCTTGGACTGGCTGGGAGCTGAGTACTTCTGCATGCGAGTGCTTTATTGCCAGAGATATTCCTAGATTGAACTTGTGACCACCATTGTCGCTTTTGGGTGTCCGTTTCAGGCCTTTCAGTCTGAAGCGTCTGCGGTTTGGTTATGCAGCTTGGGGGTGAGGGTCTGGAGTTCCAAAGACGATCTCGCTTTGGGGTTCTTTCCGCGTTACTTTTGAACACTCCGTGAGGACTGCCGTCGCAGATCGTCGCAGCATGGGGAGATAGTCGCATTGCAGCTTCAGTGTTTCATGGTTTCGGACTTGGGATGACCGAGCACACGGGGTATAGGGAGATAGTGTCGTCTGTTTGTCGAGGTCCGCGCGCCCGAATTCGGAAAGATGTTGCTCGCACATCGCAACTGAACACAGGAAAGATAGTGTTGTTTGCGAGGCCGTCCGCGTCGCTGCCCCGACCTCGCCGCTTCAGGAATAATTGCACCAAGACTTCCTGGCCCCGAAACACTGTGACACCACCGTGCGCGAAAAACTTGTTTGTGCATGGATGAGAGCTCCTCATCCAGCCTTGGCTCAACACGAACTCATCCGTCACCCAAGGTCGCCCCCGACCGAGATGACTTACGTCAGCGCCTTCAACGCCTCTTGCCGTCGTCCTTGATGGCAGCTTTTGCTAAGCAGTTTCGACTCTTGAGATTTCTGGTGCCCTTGCTTTAAATTTGTCTTGTCTTCGTGTAGGTTGGACAGGTTTTGACTTAGAGTCTCCCTCCGCTTTTCGACTCGCGTGTTTTCAATTGCCAGCTGAATGCCAACCAGCAATACTTTGCCGTTCACGGGGTGATTCGGAATTGTTGTGACCCCGATTGCTTCCGATACTTGTTCGAGGTCTATTTTGCCGTGGACGCATTGGGAACCAATCGGTCTCAGCTGGGCTCCCTTGATGCAGCCCGGCATGGTGATGATTCTCGGGGCAATCCGGTTTCGCCAAGAGATTCCCAGCAGCAAAGTGAACATAGTTATCTTATCAATAAGTCAATAGTTTTTGTCAATAATCATACAACAGAGCAGCAAGCCCAGCAAGCACCCGACAAGTCCGAAGCGGATCCGGATCTGTGCAGACTCCGCCTGAGATACTTTGCAGGTCGCAGGCACCAGTTACGATGCCAACACGAGCAATATGCAACCTGGTGGCAGTGCTGGCATGGAGCGCAGCTTCCGAGCTAGGCAAGACACATCTGAAGCAAGGTTCGATGTGCTTGCCAACTCGGACTTCACCGACTTCTCGCACTGCGCCCTGGCCTAGTCGATGACGCTTGAAAACATGTAGGATTTGAGTCGCTTGCAAAGCCCAGAAGCCCGGAGGACGCAAGCCCCACTCCACACTAACGAGCGACATCGCAAGTGTTTTCATCTGGCTTCAACTTTCCTCAAGGTGTTGTCTACACCAGCTCCACATTGGCAGAGCAGTCGACGCCAGCCTTCCTTGCCGTGCAGGAATTCCGCACGTTTCGCATGTTCAGGCCTTCGGTAGCTGCTATGGGAAGGACTTGGGTGGGAGAGCAGTGCGTTCCCACATTGTAGCCATAGGATTGCAACAAGATTTGATTCACGATCTGCTCACCCAGATTGAGAAATCGTGTTTCTTGGGAAGTGCCTATCAATGGCAGATGTAGTCTTCCCAAGATTTTTGTAGGTTTGTCCCTTCGAACCTTCAAGCCCATGCTGTACACACACACACACACACACACACCAGACGACCAAAGCGCGAGTCTCGGCCAGGACTACGATGGTTCGGTGAGCAACATTCAGTTCAGTGACAAGGCCAGGGACTTGTTTCGACATCCCCAAAACAGAGTCATTCCCTGCGTCATGTAACTAGTCAGCTGCCAGTGCCAGGAACTTTCTCTCGTGGCACAGCCGTCCTAGTCCGAACGTGTTGGAGGTGTCTATTCTTCGCGTTGGCCATGCATACATCAGATATCTGGACGTCACCCACCGGATGTGTCGCTGACAGGACCTGGATTTGTCTGAAGTCGGCGGCGATGTGCCGCTTTGATTACAATCTGAGGGGGTCCCCAGCCTCCTTTTTGGGAGGGTGGTGTTGTCGAGGCAACTTTCCGGCAGCTTCGAGCGCGGGATTCTGAATGAACCGTTCAGGGTGCCACGTAGATCTCAGGCATTGGCAACCTCCCTCCCTGCTGGATGGGCGCTTGGCCTCCTACAGCCGACGCCTCATTTTGGGAGAAGCGGTGACGGCCTTGGTTTCTTTGGGCCAGGCTCTTCAGTCTTCGCCGCTGGTCACTGAACAAGCGACCTCTGACTCTAACTGCTAATCATAATCTCCGATTCAGGATCACTCGCCCTGGTTATCCAACCGCGTCTGTGAGTGATGTTCCGCATATGTAAAGCATGCTTACCCTCGAAGGCCTTTATTGTCCAAAGAACAGATTGTGCCTCTGCTTTCGCGGGTTCTGAGCCCAATGCTTTCCTCCTATACGAGGACTGTAAATCCTTGGTGAGCTCCCATGGAGTCCGGCAGGGCGTCCCCTGCAGGCGTCTCGGAAATGGATGGCATGGGATCGAGAAGGTTCGTGAACTTGGCTATGGAGATGCGGATGGATTAGGGCAGCGGCAGCCAAGGAAACCATGATGGGTTTCAGGGTCCTGTGGAACCTGCGGCTCCATCCTCTGGTGGGCAGCGACCCGTGCCTGCTTTTCCTAAGTGATGTTGCTAGAGAAGCAGGTGATGATGCTATGCAAGGCGTGAGAGAAGAGAGAGATAGAGAGAGGAGGTGAGTCAAGTGGCAAGATCACTCGTTCATGACCAATCTGGCTACTGCGCTGGTGGGCCGTAGGGATCGTGTGGAGCTGGCCCAGTCGCAGGGCGGCTGTAGTGGTTCTGCTGGACGACGAACTACGGCCACCGATGGGCGTATGGAGATGCCAACGGGTGCAATGCCGGAAACGATGAGTGGACCTGGAAAGGATGGGGCAAATGCGGCTGACTTCAGGTGAGCAACCTGGTGGGATGGGGGGCCGACCCTGGCATCTGTGAACCAAATCTTTGCTGGGACTGCTGAATAAGTCAGATGACAGCGACACCTGGCAGAGGGCGTTGCAAGGACGCGGGGTCCCCGCTGACTCCCCGGACCCCTGGCAGCTCCTACGGGTCTCATCCTGCTTCGGGGTTGTCCTCAGAAATCCTCAGGAGATGATGTCGTGCACCCCGCCTCTGCAAAATATGCTTCAGGGAGCCGTGCAGCCTGTGCAGCAGTTGTCCATTATCCAGTATGCCACAGGAGAGCTTGCTGACTTTGGCTTCGTTGACCAGTATGCCGGTATGCCGCATGCCTCAAGGATCTTCGGGGTTATGTCAGAGGGAACTTCTCAGCCTATGCCGCAGTTGTCAAGTTACGTCGAAGGAAATTTTTCAGCCTTTGTTGCAGTTGCCAAGTATTCCGCGGGGGTCCTCTTTGTCCGTGCAGGTGACTTCTGTACCTACGGGAACCCGGAAAGCATCAAACACAAAGCGCCGAGTTCAGGGCTGCTTCGCCGCCGGGAATGTCGAGGTCGGCTATGCCAAATGGTCCGGCTGGCGAACTAAAGTAGGAGGTGGCGAATGAAGAAGTAAGGCCATCAAGGACGGGCTCCTGGAAACTGGGGCGCGAACTATGTGTTTGGTATGTGTCAATGGGTTGTGGGCACTATATTATATGGTGCAGGGGCCGATGGTGATCCAGGATGTGGGCGTCTGCGACGCCACTTCAGGTGGCCATGGCATGACAGGAACCGCGCCCCCATCTCCTCAACCACTGCATCCACCATGACCTTCACCAAGGCCAAGTTCACAGCCGGAGACCCGCTGGCGGAAACAACTCTACCCGAGGAACTCCACTTCCTCCTCCGCCGACGACCCTGTTGATGACTAAAAGCCTGTCTACTTCCTGTGTTATAGAGTTTAAAACGGGCAAAGGGAAGTGTCGTGGCAGCGGACTGGTTGGCTTAGCTAGAACCGAGCATGGCAAGCTTGAGCGGGACGGCTTCTACGTGGTGGCAGGATGTCATGACGCGTGTTCGCGCCCTTTACCAGCGATTGTTTTAGTCTACCCCAGTGGATCGCTTGCAAATCCGTCAACAGGTGTTGGCGCACCGACCACCAATGGGTCACTACTGGCGGGTCGAACAGCGAGCGTCAATGCTTCTTTTGGACAGGTTGCCGTAGGACCTGAAGGCCGGGGCAGCATTTGTGCGAGCAGTGACAGTTGAAGCGATGGTGTTTTTCGTCCACTGCTTTTTCCAGCCAGGTGGTTCAGCCGCGAAAGCTTATGTCGTCTCGTACACTTTCTTTTCACATCCCCGGACACCGGCAACACTGCCGACGTGGCGGAAGCTTCTATCAGAACATGGATTCGATCCTAGGTCCTAGCCGTCATTGTCGAGGTTAGGACAAGCTTCATGCTCACGTCTTTGCCCGCAACAAGCACTGCACCGCGGCCTTCAGGATCGCAAGCTTCGCTGGACTACAAGGCAAAGGCCTCAGGTGGAGGATATGCGCAAGTAATACTTGGGGAGCTGGAGGTGGCAATGGTTCCTCAGCGAAAGCTCAACCGCTTGGAGGAAACCCAAAGCCAGGATGGTGCCAAGGGGAAGAACAAAACCGAAGGGGAAAAAACCTTGTTGAGGCTGGCGAGATGGATCTGGATGCAAGTACGGCCCGAACTGATGTTTCAGCTTGACTTTTTCGATGCAGGACGTTGCTGGAATCTTGGAAGCAGCAGTCAACTCAAACCACAGTGCCCGCTTCTCGGGCAAAAGGGGAAATGGTACTTCGGCGTCTACAGCGGCGACAGCTGGTGCTGGTTGGTTCTGCTTCGCAAAATTCTTCGTCTCTGGCCACTTCGACCTCTACTACAACTACGCAGGGGAAGATAAGGCGCCTGAAAAGCCGCCGGAAGAAGGAACTTGATCAACTCAGGGAGGTCCAGTTCGGGCGGAGGCTTTTGGAGGTCATGCATCAGATTCTTAAGATGAAATCGATGTATTCAAGCCAAGCCTCCCCTGCTGACCGGGAGGCCGAGACTGCTTTGGCTGAATTACTTTCGGGAAACACACCTGCAGACCAGTCACCCATACTTAGACGGTTACTGTTTGTGCCAGTGTCGCAAATCTACATATCCTTGGCAGGTTTCTGGCTTAGCCTGGTTGCCATTGCTATTCATTAACTGGTCACAAGCTGCACTAGCAGGTGCCCACGCCGACCAATGTTGCATGTATGTTTACACCTTGGTGGTGCCTGGTCATCGTTGGCCAGGACACACACACACACACACCCACACCCACGCGCACACACACACACACACACACACCCACATAGAGATTCTTGGCCCCCTGTATATGGTGAAGCATTCATGATGAAACGATCTTACATGATCCCAAGTCCCAGGAGACAGGAGTTTCCAGCCCCAGAGTTTAGGGAAACAGTGAGGCATCTACCTGTCTTCCACGACGCTGGGGCAAACGAAGTCCCTTGTCGGCTCCCGCCCTGTTGGCACCAACACAGCACCTTGGTTAGTGAAACATATTTGTTTTTCCACTTGTTTGTTTGGTATCTTATCGAAAGTTGCATCTTGTGAATCCAGTGCCCGCGGCATGTCATATAGCGTCGGTTGGAGGCTTTTCGTTACGTCATGGGTGGTCCTCCAGTGAGTGGGGATTTCAATTCTCCGTGCGATTGAAAGCTTATCAGCGTAGGGATCAGACCCTTGATTGTTGATCAGCTACTTTCGGCTGTTGCCCTCCAATCCCCACGCCGTGCGACCCGGAACAGGTCGGATTCATCGGAGGGTACAATATACAAACCCCGAGCCTCAGCCAACTAAGTGCTATACATCTTTGCCACAGCGGCAGGCAAAACACAATCAAGGGTTCGTTGAGATTCGTTATGAAGCCTCGCATTGAAATTCTTCAAGAGGTGGTGCTGGCAGCAGACACCGCGCGGAGCGATTTCGATTACGTGCTCGTTTCTGCAGCATCCGCTCTCGAGGAGAGTCGTTCCATTGGCGTGTCAGCGTTTCTGCTTTGAGGATTCAAGCAGTCACAAGCAGTCGCTGCTCCGAGCAGGAGCAAACAACTCCGGTGTCGGCACGGCTGTTTGACGCGGATGGAACGGCCGCTTCGCTTCTTGTTACGCTGGATCGTGGTTTGTCTTTTCGGGAAGTCTGCGGCCTCGGGATGTATTTAAACGTAGTAATGTTGTAATCGCAATGAGTTCGAATTTGACAGGGAGATTTTGTGGACACAGGGTGAATTAAAGGATTGTCAACGATTGTAGCCTTTCAATGCCGTGTGGTTTTGTCCTTTCGGGATCTCATGGGAGTAATGACATGGCTCGGAGCATATAGTATCGACATGTATCGACAAACAATGTTGAATGCAGAGCCAGACCAGCGAGATGCATACCAAGCTGCATCGTGATCAGTTTGCCAAGTTGATGATTATGTGCCGTACACACTGAGGTGCAGAACCTCACGTTCCCAGACTGCGACCTTGATGCCTTTGAGCTGGGAGGCACTTCCCGAGACATGGTGCAGTCACCTTAAATGTACCATTCCTTGTGATCTTGCAACATTGGATAGTGGTGGTGATGGGGTGGCGGCGGCGGGGCAGTCGCGGTGGCAGCGGTGGTGGCGGCTGCGGCTGAGGTGGCGGTAGTGTTGATGATGAAGAAATTGAAGATGATAATGATTACTTCTCTCTCTCTCGCTCTCGCTCTGTCCCGCTGCTTCTTGCTCTGCGAACTCGTCAGATCTGGATGGGGTCCAGCCGCAGGTCCAAAGACCGGGACGTCATGCCTCCCATGATGGTAAAGGTTTTTAGGCTAACAGACGGAAGGATTGAGAATTGGCAAGAATCACTGGCGCCAGACTCGCGCCAGGTTATTTGACCTGGGCAGCACCTGCCAACACCACAGAGGTTGGAGTCATCCAGGGATTGTTAGAAGTGTGATGATTTGCGACCTGGGGTGTTGTGTAGGTTGCAGGATGTGCTTGAGTGGTTGTTTTGAAATGCAGGCTTTGGGCTTTGGTTTCAGATTTCCGAAGCTGAAGTGCTTTGAGGCTTGCTGTTCTGTGGTCTCCAGGGCCCATAGGCCTCAAACTTAAGGATCTCTCGTAAACTGCAGCTCACCGAGACATCTCGGAGCCCTCGAGCGATCATGGAGAACAGCGTGTGAGAGTTACCGGTTCTGGTTACAGGTTTGGAAAAGCGCGAGCCCTAAGAGCTTGGAATCCCGGATGCATGCACTATCGTGCAGTCTTGCAGCGAGCGTCGACAATCATGAAGGCAAACCGCGGGGTTTGGTTGAGAGTCTAAAGTCCAGGTATCGCACTACTTCGTCTACCTCGGCATGGATGGCGTCCAAAGCCTAAAAGGGTGAAGGGTCGTGTTGCATTTTTTGGTTGAGTTGTCGTTTCGGATTTTGGCGTTGAGCGCAGGCATTCTCTCGGAACGTGCATGTATGTGCATGTAATTCTTGCAAAAGTATAACTCCAAGATGACTACCGGTATTGAGCGTGGGGCACCACGTAAAAGAGACATGCGGAGACGTGTGCGCAAGAGCCGACCACATACCCAGACTATGTAGTGCTGAGTTTGCAGCATAAATGCTTGCAGCTGCAGGCTGCATGCGAAGCCCCACATCCTGAGCTCGGACCCAATTGGAAAGCCCTGACTGCACCGAAAGGCCACCCATTCACGAAACTTCGTCTGCAATCCCCGGGAGAGTTTCTTCAATTGTGCTCAGTCTTCCGGCTGCCCGGGCTACGTTGACAGTCGCACGGCAGATGCTGCTTCTTTGCCCGGAGCCTTGTCTGAGTTGTAGGGCGGTGAGAAAGGATCTTGACTTTGTGGTTCAGGCGTCAGCACAGTCGACCGACGGTCAGCTGCCTCGGAATCCATCCCAACGCGTAAGTGCTTCAGAGCCACATCTAAAATGCTTCTGAGACTCAGAGGTTAGCGGTACCGCAGGAGCATTCGATGTAAGCATCCACTGTCTCAAAAAACAAGGACATCGAGACACGGCCGTTGAGGGTCCCTGGTGCCGATGGCTTTATCAGATCAATGCGAGACTTGGCCGAAAGTGCTTCATGGTCATCAGTCCAAGCTCAATCAGCGAATTGAAGCTGGGTTCTGACGTACTATGCTTGTCGGGAATCCCGGCTTTCTGGCCTCGTGGCAACTCAAGAGGATGCAGCTCCACCCAGCAGTTCCTGCTTATTGCACAGTGCGATTCTTTTTCAGGCTGGGCGATACCAACAGCACTCTCCCTGCTGATTCTTGGCGTCACCAGCGCACCACTTGACCTGTCCTGTTCGAGTGCCTGGTTTTACGCGAGAACTGCTCCTGCAGCAGTTGCTTCGCCCTTACTCTGACATGTAGCTTTCAGGATCCAAAGAGTTGAAAGGTTGATGCTGGGTTCTCGGCGGAAAGGACACAGCGATGCAAAACTGGACGCACTGGCTCGTCTACGCTTCGTCATCGCTGGCAGAGCAGACCACGCCGGCAACGGTCGAGATCCAGGCTGGGTGCACGAGTCACTGTGGAAGCTTCCATGATGCCGACACCGTTTTCGTCATGGGCAGGATGCTTCTGGGGGTTTCTCCGGCAGCTGCAATGGTAGTCAGACCTTTTCAACATGAGCTACGTAAACCCTACAGAGAGGACAACTTCATAGGGACTGTCCTGATGGCCGCCAGATGCGTTCCGTACAGGATGACAATGCCACGGTGGGCACGGTCAGTTTCGTGGGTACTGACTTGCCGCTCGTGCCAGTTTGGACTTCTCACTGTGCCGTCAACACGTCAGGGTTGGAGTGTTCGCGAATCCCCGCCGTCAACGAAGCACCCCCCGACTAAAAACCTCCCTGTTCCCAGGAACATGGACGTGGTCAACGGGAGCCTTGTGTGGGGACCGCCTGCTGAACCGGACTGCCTCGAATCGATTGTGAGCTGGTTGCACTCGGCCCTAGGCTTGTGAATGCTCCAAACATGAAGAGGCATGTGTGAAGTAGCAGACATAAGGTTCTCGAACGGGCCAATGACCTGTTCGAGAAGTTATATAGTTCTAGTGTGCCCTTCGGAGAGGCGGATCAATCTTGCTGTAGATGTGATGCCCAACAGTGTCCCAGAGTTCTTGTAGATTTCGGAGAACTTGCCGAACTTGTAGCCGCTCTTGTGAGGTCATTTACATCGCGGAAGACAACATGGGCTTGGCAAGGTTCCCTCGAAAACTAAGACTTAGAGCTGCCTGGGGATCTCCCACTTCTGCATTGTTGGTGTCTCTGCCCATATGGTCCGGCGGGCCACCCTTCCAAGCTCTGATGCCTGAGCACGAGCAAGGGCCACCCCACTGGCATGGTTGTGGAGCTGAGGCTGAGAGTAACAGAACAAAAGCGGCAGTTGCACTGGCAGGTCCCAACTGGGCGAGGTGGCAGCCGGCGTTGACCAGCTACAGGTCGCACCCTTGGTTCGGGTTTCTGTGAAGGTCCAAGCCCAAGCTCCCTCCCCAAGCAACCTTGTGCTGTCAGGTCGTTGAGGGCGATGCCTATGGGGAGCCTTGGTGAAACCGTTGCTGCTTTGGGATACTTTCTTTGGGGCCAGCATGCTCCACGCGCCCCGAAGTCTAAAGCCTTGGAACTAACCTTGATATGCCCTCCTCGAATTTCCTGCCCTCAGAACTTCACCCACTTCGTGGTGTACACGAAGTCCAGCTTTGCTGAGCAGACGACGCCGAACAGCCTGTCCTTCGAGGAAGCTGTCGCGAAGTATCAGGTGGGCACCATGTTCACCAGAATGCATGATGAGCACTTGATCCTTTACTTATCGTGTATGTCGATGGCGATGATGGGTCTGCTGGTAATGCTCGTTTTGCTGAACTGTGGTGATGATATCGCAAATGCCCAGCGCCGGGTCCGAAAGCCTGCTTGCAAAATTCCGACTATATCCGTGTCCTGTTAAGGATTGTTGCCCCGAGTCCCATGTCCCCTGTCCCTAAACGAGTTTGGGAGCATTACCTTCTGCTTGGAACTGTGCAGGTGTCCAGCCCAGCCTTCACCGACGAGGACTTAGACCAAGGCAGCCGAAAACACTGCGACAACTGATGATGCTGTGACCATTGCGATGGCCGTTCGAATGACGATGATGCTGAGGATGAGAATGGTGATGACGAACATTATCGACAATGGCAATCACATCTTCAATGCTGACCATGCTGAATTTTGCAGATCTCTAATTCGGTTCCTCCTTCTAGTACGAGAAGCGATCCGCCAATACATCAACAATTGCACAAGTAATCCGCTCTCCTGGTATTTAACCTCCTCTCCATTTTTCCAAAAAGTAGTAGTCTTGCAGAGCATTTGGCCGGAATGCATCCGAAGAGAAGTTCAACAGTTCAAAGACTACATTAAAACGAGGGCCCATTAGTCAGAACATTGGTTTAAGCGTAGAGGATCTGAGGTCCCTCTCAGTCTCAAACTTTACGGTTCTGCAGCCTTTAGAATAAAGCACCGACCATGGGGAACATTCAATTTAGTGCCTGCTAACACTATATACTTCTCAGGAAAAGATATCGGGTATTAGGGACCCGGGGGTAATAATAGAGGGAGCGTATTAAGCATGATAAATGAGTGTACACATGGCATGTTCTCTTTGCAGGAGAAGAGCTCTGTAGAATGGTCTGTAAATGGACACTCCTTGTGGGCTTACTGAACACTTATCTCGGTCATGTGGGGGCTGACTGAACACTTATTTTGGGGCCGATAAGTGTTCGATATGGGAATTAATGGATGTTCCAAATCCTGTTACGAGAGACTTTGTGGAACTGCCGGGTAGGGTTCTCGTGAATCAGGAATGCTTGTGTAACATTCATAACAGAGATTCATGAGTTAGACATTGGGTTAGAACCACCGGAAAGACTAGTCAAGTTAACCATGGAATATACATTCAGGGGAGTAGTACGGACATGCTAGTTATCTTAAGCTAAGTATTAACTAAACAATGGTTATATGTTTCTTTTTGCATGGTCAAAACTGCGCTGAATGGGCGCTGCATATTGGCTGCCTTAGCATTCACTTGTTGTTGAATGCTGTTGAGCAATGTGACCTGCCAGTATCAAGCAGGTTCTGAGTATATGACAGTGAATACTGTAATTATGGGAAGTCCTTATTTCGACGCCAAGCGCTAAGCGAATATCAAGTAGCTGCTACTTTCAGCATGTTTTCTTTAGCAGACTTGTAATTGGCCCTACTAGTGTTTGTTTTTCTCAATACGAAGTGTCAACGAGGTATCCGGCGAACATTACAAAAGTACTACGTACACACTACGGTGTAATTATTGAATTCTAAATCAAAATAATTCAACAGTAGGTGTTCAAGTTAACTGTATTTTATTCAACATGATAATGATTGGTCACATCTCGTGTCGCAGTAAGACCTGGTAAGACTAGTTTTCGCTTTCATCAAACTCGACATGTCATTTGGGTACACGGTACATATGTGCCTAACATCCAAATCGGCATGGGGGACGTGACATTCAGTGGTATTTACGAGTTAACCGGTCGTATTGTGTCCGAAGATGTCTCGTACCTGATCCTTGGACGGTTCCACGACTACCCGTGATGTTGTGGCCTTGATAGGGAACTGGCAATACCGATACATATTACGATGACTGTCGTGATGGGCAAGCAACTGACTGGATTTGCTCCGACTTCAGGAGCCCTTGAATGTCGGATCCCCGCACAGCAAGCATCCAAAATAGACTGCCCAAAGCCAGTGAAGAAAGAAGCATCATCATTCTCACCATGCCATGGTTGAGCAGCCCAAGAGTCTTTTGGAGGCGAAGTTGCTGGGACGCTGACATGGACTGCGCCGGAGGTTACCCAGACAGTGACGGGCTACAGGATCTACCTGTCTGAGGACCTCTCAAATGAAGTGTTTAACTTTGTAGGCGTAACACCAGGAGTATGGCATGCCGATGTGCAGGAGGAT